TAAATGACATCCGCCCTCCCCCCCCGTACATCTGGCTCTCTTTCCCTCAGGGCTGCAGTACTTTACAGTTGTGTAGAGGAAAGCGTTTTGGCAAATGAGTCTGCCATGCAGCAGGAAGGGAAACAGTTGTGTGTGCTATATCACTGGTTCTTAACCTTGGGTTACTCAGGAGTTTTGGACTGCAACTCCCAGAAGCCTTCACCATCAGCTGTCCTGACTGGGGTTTCTGGGAGTTGCAGTTCAAAAGCATCCAAGTAACAAAGGTTAAGAACCACTGTGCTATATAACTGTCAGGGGAAAAAGAGTCCCTGTTCCACTTCTCACCTAATTTTTTGTGGACATTATTTACTAGCTACACATTAACAACAGCAACAAAAAGGGGTATATTTGTCAGGGTATAACATTTGAAGCTGAGGCTCCAATACTTTGGCCAACTCATGAGAAAAGAAGAGTCCCTGGAAAAGACCTTGATGTTGGGAAAGTGTGAAGGCAAGAAGAGAAGGGGACGACAGAGGATGAGATGGTTGGACAGTGTCATTGAAGCGACCAACATGAATTTGGCACAACTCCGGGAGGCAGTGGAAGACAGGAGGGCCTGGCGTGCTCTGGTCCATGGGGTCACAAAGAGTCGGACACGACCTAACAACTAAACAACAACAAAAGAAGATTTGTTGGACCCAGTGCACCAGCTGGTTTCAAAAATGAATGTCTTGTTCAGTGGAAGGGATTTCTCAACTTGTGTCTATGATCATATTGAAAACCTAGATGCATGTAAAGAAAATAATATGGTGTTGCTGTAATCTGCATCTGCATTAGATACAAAAATCAAATGCTTAAGTGGAATATACAATAAACAGTAAGGAAGCTGTGATGAGAATTTAAGGCTTTACAGTCAGTATTGGGCACGGTATGAGAGAAGCCAGTAAAAAGCATGGTTTAGTAAAGAGCTTTGCCAGTTCTGTTTGGCCCCCGTGTGATCCCTCCAACAATGACAGTTCTGAGACTTGTGTGTAAGACAAGGAGACTCTGATTGTGAAACATTGTGGAAGAAGATGGCATCTTGCAGCAATGGTAAGAAGTGCTTAAATCCATTACTCTTATTTTAGGAAGGTAACTTGTGTGTAGGTTCAATTCACACAAGAACTGTTACAGGAACAAGATGTAAGTACAGCCTGTGGAGAGAAGCTGTAATGCTCCAGGTATAAATGAAAACCTAAGATTTTGTGAGGGAGGCATAAGACTCTTATCAGAGTGTACATGCTCAAATCAGACTGGGCCCAAGCAGGGAAAATGCACCAGTGGTCCTTGTTCTGAGAGTTGGTTTTGTGAGCAGAAAACACCCAGATTACATAGAGATACCACTGAGGTGGCATTTGTCAGTAGATCTGGCTCTGGAGCTTGAAGATAGCTGGCTGTCTGCTATTTAAGCACAGCGATCTGAGTGATTGTCCCAAACCTGGCTCTGTGGACTTGGAATGAGATAGAAGCAGAAGGGAAAAGGAGGGAAAACTTCTTGCTTGCTTCTGTCTCCCAGCTCCTTATCTTACTTTGTAGTACTATGCATAACAGAATGTCAGCTGCTTATATACTTGCTGTGAATAACAGAGTATCTCATGGGCAAGCTTGGAAACAGGTACCTACCTCATAGGTGTTCCTAGTATTTGTTCTGAATCGTGCAGTGCATGGCATTGTAAACAAAAGTTTTTTTAAAAATGTCATTGTGGAATATAGAGGTCCTCTGTTTAGAAACTACAGCTGCAAGGATGAGATGTGTTGGCAGGAAGTAGCCAAATTCAGCAAGAGATTTGATGACATATCAGGGATACAGACAGCCTGTGTAGCCTGGGGTAAGCTGCAAAGTCCCAGAGTGTCCCAAAAGAAGGGAGGGGTAGGCCACTCCTAAGTGCTTTATATCTATAAAAGCCTGAAAAGAGTTGCCGTAAATCAGAACTGGCTTGGTGGTGGTGGTTATTATAGCCTACTAGCATCAAAAGTTGTTCTAGTATTTTTTTTATTGACTAAGACGCCATCCACTATTGCTGACTTCAGAGTTCTTTTCCTTGCTGTTGCTTAGTCGTGTCCGACTCTTTGTGACCCCGTGGACCAGAGCGTGCCAGACCTTTCTGTCTTCTACTGCCTCGCGGAGTTGGGTCAAATTCATGTTGGTTGCTTCAATGACACTGTCCAACCATCTCATCCTCTGTCGTCCCCTTCTCCTCTTGCCCTCACCCTTTCCCAACATCAAGGTCTTTTCCAGGGAGTCTTCTCTTCTCATGAGTTGGCCAAAGTATTGGAGCCTCAGCTTCAGGATCTGTCCTTCCAGTGAGCACTCAGGGTTGAATTCCTTTAGAACGGTTTGTTCTCCTTGCAGTCCAGGGGACTCTCAAGAGCCTCCTTCAGCACCACAATTCAAAAGCATCAATTCTTCGGCGGTCAGCTTTCTTTATGGTCCACCTCTCGCTTCCATACATCACTTCAGGAAAAACCATAACTTTGACTATGCAGACTTTTGTCAGCAAGGTGATGTCTCTGCTTTTTAAGATGCTGTTGAGGTTTGTCATCACTTTTCTCCCAAGAAGCAGGCGTCTTTTAATTTTGTGGCTGCTGTCATCATCTGCGGGAGCTCACTCTGTCACGTGGATTCGATATTACTACTGCTAGTCTTCCAACCTTGCAGCACGTTCTTTTCGTAGAAGGTTGCTGATCTGCAAAAAACTAAGTGATCAATTGTAAAACCTTTAAAAATAATGATGTACAGTTTACAAGATTTTATTGGGTTTGAATAACTTTCTAATGTTAAAAAGCAAAGTGTGCTGCTTATATACCGCCCCATAGTGCTTCAAGCACTCTCTGGACAGTTTACAAGTTAATTATGCAGGCTACACATTGCCCCCCCCCCAAGCAAGCTGGGTACTCATTTTACCGACCTCGGAAGGATAAAAGGCTGAGTCAACCTTGAGCCGGCTACCTGGGATTTGAACCCAGGTCGTGAGCACAGCTTTGGCTGCAGTACAGCGGTTTAACCACTGCGCCATGAGGCTTACAAAAGTCAACCCATAGCTTCTAATTTCTACTACCAATCTCTACTGGTAGAATTAAGCAAAGCTGTAAGTTATTGTTTCATTATTCACTTGAATAATTTTCTTTCTTTCAGTCAATGTAAAATGGGGCAAGGAGAAATTTGATGGAGTGGAGCTTAACACAGATGAACCTCCAATGGTATTCAAAGCTCAGCTTTTTGCTTTGACTGGAGTTCAGCCTGACAGACAGAAAGTGATGGTGAAAGGTGGAACTTTAAAGGTAGTGTTAATCACAACATTACAATGCAGTGGCTTATATTTATGCAGTGGCGCCGTGACTTACGAATGCCCTGAACTGTGAACAGTTTGACTTACGAACAGCTCGGGTTGCAAAATTTTGCTTTGACTTGCGGCTGTGGCTTTGACAAATGAACAGGAAAAGGCAAGGAGAAAAGGCGAGAAATTAAAAAAACCTAACCGTTAGTGGCGATGAGGCTGCTTCTTTGTAGCTCTTTTGCCCCAACAGTTAGGGAAAGGGAGGCTCAGCCTTCCAGGCTTCTGCCACCGCTGCAGCCATCACAGCATTCGGAGGTCTCCCAGGGCTTCCCCGCCACCACGGGAGATCGCCCAGGGGGTCCCCCCGCTGCCACCAATTGCTGCCTTCAGGCTTTCCTGGGGGGGGTAGACCCAGGCCTATCAGAGGAAGCCCTCCCCTGGTAGGCATGGTCTACCAGGGGAGGGCTTCCCCCGGGAAAGCCTGATGGCAGCAATTGGCAGCAGCGGCTTCCGTGGCAGCGGGGCCTACATGGCTGTGGGGAAGGCCGGGTGAGCTCCCAGAGGCCTCCCCGCCGGTGGTGGCTTCGGTGGCACTGGAGCCCGCGCAGCTGCGGGGAAGGACATGTGAGCTCCTGGAGGACTGCCCATCGACCATGGCTTCGGTGGCGGCGGGGCCCGTGTAGCTGTGGGGAAGGCCGGGTGAGCTTGAGAGGAGGCTTTGTGGGGAGGTGTGTGTGCTGCTTTTTACTGTTTTGGGTGGCTTTTGCAGGGTGGGATTGTGCTTGTGGGGTTATTTTGGGGGTTATTTTTGTGTTTTGTTATGATTTTTGCAGCCCCAGGGGCTTGCAGATGTTTATTTTGGGGGGGAGTTTTTTTTTCTTCAGCTGGAACGGATGAATGGGTTGTCAATGCATTCCTATGGGAAATAGTGTTTTGACTTACGAACACCATTCCAATACGGATTAAGTTCGTAAATCAAGGCACACTGTATTGTATATATAAAACAATGCTTATATTTATCAACATATTTATTTGTATTGGTAAAATCCAGAGCAGTAAGGAGCAGTATTTTCTTGTAATATAAGGTGGGTGTGCCATCTACATTTTAAAAAATAACAAGTATCAGGAAATAGTGCTTATTTTTATGTACCCATATATTGGTGCACCTTGGATCATGACTATGGTAATCTTATCTGCTGATGTTTTGCCTTAGATCAGTGGTTCCCAACCTTGGGTCCCCAGATGTTCTTGGCTTAAGGATCCCGGAAGCCTTCATCAATACCTGTGTTGGCCAGGATTTTTGAGAGTTGTAGTCCAAGAACATCTAGGCATTCAAGGTTAGGAACTACTGCCTTAGATGTTATTTATTTATTTACTGTATTTTATTTATTTATATCTCACCTAGCTGGTCTTGCGACCACTCTAGGTCTGCACGTTTTGCTTAATGTGATGGGAAATTATTTATACTGTTTTTGTTTTATTCAATAGGATGATGACTGGGGTAACATCAAAATAAAAAACGTAAGTATTGCTAAACAATTTTAATAGATATTGTGGCTTGGATCTCAACTTCTGTTCTATGAACGAAACAGAGTGCCTATTCACAAAGTGTTCTTGTCTCTTTTCCTTCTTGGCAGCTGTGAGGGTTCATTTTTCGAGGCTTCCCACTCTTCCCAAAAAGGAGTCGAAACCGCTTTCTCTGCTGTTCACTTGTCTTTATTAAACGGAACAAACGGAACTTCATTTTTAACTGGTGACTTTTGTTTAGTCTCTTGCCCTGAAACAGGATCAGGCAAGGGCACCCACGTAGTTTCAAAAACAGCTTTAACAGGTTCAGTGTCCCAAGGTCCAACAGGGACCTCCCCCAACAGTTTGTCTCTTCTTTCTTGGTCAAACGGACTCAATAACGGGAGGGTTTCCTCGTCTCCCATCCAACCCCACGAAAGGTCTCCTTCCCTTGGCGAGGCACTCCAGGGACCAGGTAGCAGCCCATCTTCTTCAGCTCTTCTATATGCCATGCCTGTCTGGCCACCCTTTCCCTTTTACTTGCCTCTTTAGCCTCACTCAGCTTCTTATGCCAGAGCTTAGCCTCCGTCTCTCCCCAATAAGAGGGTTTTTGCATCAATCCCCTCTTACGTCTCCTTTCGGCCTCCTCTCGAGGCACCCGCACCTGCTCCCAATGCTTGGTCCACGGATCCTCTATCCAGACCATCTCCCAACCACCAGGGATATCATCCCGCTTCACCGTTATATCCCCCAGCCCTCCTTCCTCTCCCTTTAGCTCCACCTCCTCTCTTCCCTCCAAATCTTCCTTATAAGGACCAGGTGTCATTAACCCCTTGAGAGCTTCCTCCAAGTCGCTGGTATAACCGCACATGACACCTTCCCCTCTGGTGGTGTTTCTCCTGACTCCTGTGTGCCGGCACCTTGGTCTTCCTTACGACCAGGGGAGGTAGGAGGGCTAGTCTGTGTCATTTCAGAAGTCTTTAAGAGAGTCGGCTCTACTAGAAAGACCCGAAGCTTCTGGTCTTTCCCTTCACAGCAGCCCCTGAAGATTTTCTCCTGGGGGGTCTCGAGAAGAGTATGGAATATTTTGCAGGGTACCGTGTTTCCCTGAAAATAAGACATGGTCTTATATTATTTTTTGGTCTAAAAATGCATTAGGGCTTATTTTCAGGGGATTTTTTTTTCATGTACAACAATCTAGATAAATGTTCCCCTTGACATTTAGTCCAGTTGTGTCCAACTCTAGGGGGCAGTGCTCATCCCCATTTCCAAGTTGTAGAGCCAGTGTTTGTCCGTAGACAGTTTCCGTGGTCACATGGCCAGTGCCACTTAGACACGGAACGCCGTTACCTTCCTACCGTGGTGGTACTTATTTATCTATTTGCATTTGCATGCTTTAGAACTGCTAGGTTGGCAGGAGCTGGGACAAGCGACGGGAGCTCACTCTGTCGCGTGGATTCAATATTACGACTGTTGGTCTGACCTTGCAGGACAGAGGCTTCTGCAATTTAACCCGCATCACCACCACGACCTGCGTACAACAATCTACATTTATTCAAATATAGTCATGTCATCTTCTGGTTGCTGCACAATGGTGGAGGGTGGGCTTTCACTCAACTAGGGATTATTTTTTAGGGTAGGGCTCATATTACGAGCATCCTGAAAAATCATACTAGGGCTTATTTTCAAGGAACCGGTAGTGGTATAGGTGGAGAGTGGAACTAGCACATATTGTTGCCACTTCTTATATGAATGCAAGAGCCGCTTACAGCCAAAGCATATACAAGTAAATTGTTTAAAGCTTGTTGTTGAGATTATTATCATGACTGTCATAACTATTATTGTTATATTTGAATGTTGTTGCCTTGTCACCTTTTTGGAAGAAGTAGATATAAAGGTTACAATGAGAAGCATGACTTCACTGCTGATGCCTTTGTTTAGTAACTATGATGACTTGTGTCTAAGTTTTTGTAAAGAAAATATTTGGGTAAAGGAAAACATTTATAGTAAACAAAGGTGTGATGTTTCACTTAAAAGTATGGCTGTTATTGCATATTTGAAAATCTAAAGAACAAATGGCATTGCAGGACTACTTTTTGAAAATTTTTCATAATATGTTAAATGCAAACTTGCTGATATTCTAAATCACTGGATATTTTGAAACAATTGTTTGAAGACTAGTGTTTGAGAATGTACATTGTTTTTCCTTAATTGCCAAGTGATAACTTCTGTTGCCCCTTTGAACAGGGAATGACGTTGTTAATGATCGGCTCTGCTGAGGCACTTCCTGAAGAACCAGTGGCCAGGCCTGTTTTTGTGGAAGATATGACAGAAGAACAGTTAGCTTCAGCTGTAAGTCTGCTTCTGTTACTTTCCAAACTTCTGAATGTAATGATTTATGTCACTGAAAGCTTAATGATCAGTAATGTATAAGGAGCTTATCGGGTTTTCCAGCTGGAGGTTGTGCTCCTAAATTGATATGGAAAAAAAAAAGCAGATAGTGGTTGGAAATGGAAGTACCCTTTCTAAAATGTTCTAGAAGGTGGAAGAATCACCGAGAAGGCCCTCCATTCGATTGGCTTCTGCTTCTCCTCAATAAGAGGGTCTCGGAGGGATTTCTCTCCTTTTTCTATACCCCGCTTCCTCCTTTGGGACCCTCAGCCTTTCCCATGCTCCAGTCCAGGGATCCTCCATCGAGACCCACTCCCAACCTGGTGGTAACTGTTCTTCCTTCCTCTTTATATCTGCTTTTCCAGCCTCTATCTCCACCCTCTTCTTCTGCTCTATTCCTGTCATTTTTCCCTGAGTTCCTTCAACAGTTAACTTTTGTATTTCTCCTATTTCCTATGTATCTGTCACTCACTGCTCTGTTTTCTTGGGAGACGAGGTGGGCAGGGTCTGTACGGTGGTAAGGGGAAGGGACGACACTCCAGGGAGAGGGCTACCACTCTCGCCACTGGTCTCACACCCAAAAGATGTCAATAGGTAGTAGACATGATGTAACCTGGGACTGTCATTAAGAGACTGTTGTGACATTCTGAAACAGATACAGTGGTGCCTCGCTTAGCGATTGCTTCGTTTAATGATGTAATCGCTTCACGATTAGTTTTCCGGAGCGATCTTGCCCTCTGTTTAACGATGTTTCCTATGGGCGATTTTCGCTGAGCGATGTTTGAGACCTTGCTTCGCATAGCAATGCCAGTTTGGGTCCCCCTGTTTCGTTTAACAATGGTTTTGACAGCCTCGTGTTGGCTCTCTTTTAAATGTTTAAAAAGGTTTTAAAAAGGTTTAGAATGTTTGCAATCATAAGTGCACTTAATAAACCCTTTGTTAAACTAATTTGACTTTGTTCTGACTCTTTTTGAATTTGTTGTAATTTTTCCCCCCATTGAAATGCATTGAATAGGTTCCAGTGCATTTCATTTGGGAACCGCCTTTCGCATAGCGATGTTTCCTATGGCGATTTTCGCTTAAGGACAGCAATCCGTTCCCATTGGAACGGATTATCCGGTTTTCAATGCATCTCTATGGGAAAACGCGTTTCGCTTAGCAATGTTTTCCCATAGTGATGTTTTTTTTTGCACCAATTAAAATCGTTAAGCGAGGCAGCACTGTACATTTATAATGCATCCCTCCTACATTGCCTCTTAGCCCTATAAAAGTTTACCAAAAAGGGGGCATTTACCCACACAGCAGTAGAAATATGAGTATAAAAATTAAAAAGAGCAGACTTTTAAATATATATATATATTTACTGGTGGAATTAAAAGAGTTCTTTTGTCTGCCTAAAAGTTATAAGAATGTTCAAAGCCAAAGTTTAGGAAACTGCAGAGAAGTACAATTATGTACTCCTTTAGTCTCTCCATTACATTTAGTAGTAGAATTAGAGAAATTTCCAGGAGACTTAAGAGAAGTTGGGAAAAATGTTAAAGAAACAAGTTAAGAGATTAAATAATTGGTTGAAAAAGATGAGTAAAAAGGAGCAAATAAGATTAACACTGGTAAAACTGTGTTATCAGTTGGTTATCAAATTTCTGATTTTATGTTGGAGATGTGATCAAAATGTAGATACTGTACTTATCTCTATATGTGGTGGGAATATGAGAATATATTGGAGGTTGTTTTTTAAAGAAATGAATTAAATATTGAAGTTAAATGTAGAGTTAATAAAGTTATCAAATTTGATAGGGACAATGGGATTGGACAGTAAGAATTAATAACAAATTTATTAATAGCATCAAGATTAATTATAGCAAAGAATTGGAAATCAAAGTATGAAATTCAATTAAGTGATTGATATAAAGAGGTCTAGAATGTAGCTACTGATGATATTCATCTGTGATATTAAAGTTAACATTTTTTTAATAAATAAGAATATTTTAGCAATATCTGGTGATTTTTAATTCCTATATTAATAAAAGAGAGGTTGTGTACCTCTGGAAAAAAATCTATGCAGTTTTGGAAGGGTATGGGGCTTCATAATTGGACAATTGTTATAAGATATCATTGAATGGTCCTGGTGAATGGGAGGACTGATATGCAATTGTTTATGTATTTTTCTTATTTCTTTAGCTTTGTGTTTCTTTCATTCTATATTTCATTTNNNGTTCTACACAGAGCCCATTGCTATAATCCAGATAAGATGTAGCAAAGGCACATGCCAAGGTGGCTAGAAACAATATGTCCAGGTATAGTGGTGCAGTTGACTTAACAGTGCAAAAAACAAACACCATAGGACCATAATTTCAAGAGGTGCAATACTTAATGCAAAGAGCTGAGCAGCTCTAAATTTTTCACATCCCTTTATATTTCTGTGACAGATGGAATTACCATGTGGCTTAACAAATCTTGGGAATACATGTTACATGAATGCTACTGTACAGTGTATTCGCTCTGTGCCAGAATTGAAAGAGGCCCTTAAGAGGTAGGTTTTGTAAGCAAATGAAACAGTGTTACTTTTTAAAACTGTTTTTCAGTGTAAGTATTCAAAATTAGCATAAAGTAATAGGGATAGTGGCCAGTATTCTGGAAATGGGCTGCTTTAACTTTTTCTTTTAACCAAAAAGTTCCCTTATTAGTAGTTGTATTTAGTTAAAGGACATCAATTTGAATTGTGGTGCTGGAGGAGAATCTTGAGAGTCCCCTGGACTGCAAAGAGAACAAACCTATCCATTTTGAAGGAATGCTCACTGGAAGGACAGATCCTGAAGCTGAGGCTCTAATACTTTGGCCATCTCACGAGAAGAGAAGACTCCTGGAAAACACCAGGGAAAGTGTGAAGGCAAGAGAAGGGGACGACAGAGGACAAGATGGTTGGACAGCGTCATCAAAGCTACCAACATGAATTAGACCAAGCTCTGGGAGGCAGTGGAAGACAGGAGGGCCTGGTGTGCTCTGGTCCATGGGGTCATGAAGAGTCGGACACGACTTAACGACTAAACAACAACAAAAGGACATCAAGTACATCAACAGCTAACCTGTAATAGTAGGATTCTTATTATTCAGAATCAGAATGTGATTTGATTGTCTGCAAATTGACTTGAGCACACTGTATTCTGTAATTATTTAGAAAATTGATTTTGTTCCTACACAGTTGATTTCCATTATCTTTTTCATGTCTTATGTGCTATGGATCAGTACTCAGAATGTGGTAGATATGACATACTGCTTTCTTAATGACTTTTAAGATAACCTGTAATGGATGCCAAATTCTTTGTGATTATGAATGAAACAGATATTAATGCTTTCATATTAAGTAATAAGTGCAGAATGAATTTGCCATGCCTTTAAAATAGTATCTTCGTGCTTAATGTTACTTCTGTGTGTTCTTTACTGCCACTTTGCTCCTGCTCTTTGTGAATTCATCAAGAAGCAGAATAGGCAAAGGTTAGTCTTGCTAGCATTTTCAGATGTAGGAATGTTACGAATGACTTTCAGAACCTATTTGTACCTAAACATGAGATTTACACAAATCCTAATGTTTAAAACGTTCCAGATGGGTGAAGCCCATAGCTAAAATGTCTGGGAGAGAGATCTTTATTATGAGTGACATATTAGATAATATGCATTCCATAAGCCTTAAAAGCCCTAATTTGATGCTTTTATATTAGTGGAACATATTGCATAGCATGATCTCCCATAATTTTTGCCTGTGCTGCAACCCCATGTGTCTTATTTCAAGATGCTTCTGAAGGTCTATTGATGCTTAGGGGCAGCTGTTCAGGAGATTCATCACAGGTTACAAGCCATGATGGGAATGTATAATATCCAGGCTTAAAAGGAAGGTACCTCTGAATGCCAGATGCAGGGGAAGGGGTATCAGGTCACAGGTATCTAGTTGTCTCATATGCTCCCAGAGGCACCTGGTGGGGCCACTGTGAGATACAGGACGCTGGATTAGATGGGCCCTTGGCCCTTATTATGTTCTTATAAGGTCCAGGGGGCTGCAATAGAAAAACAGGAATGGGAAAGTGGAGCATTTCTCCAGGCTTCTGGCTTTTAATAGTACCAGCACTTTGAATATACCTCTGCTAGAGATGTTAATAGTAAACTTGGAAGCTGTGTCATGATAGTGACATGGCCAGATAAGCACTGTATCCACTTATCAAAATTGTTCAAAATGCATCAAACAAGCTAAATTCTATACAATTGCCAGCAACGTTTTGGGAGTGTCTAATTTTAAATTTTAGTAATTGTTTGCCTGGCAGAAATAGTGAAAGAGAGAGTGGAATATTTGGCTGCAAAGCAGACAGTAGAGGCAAAGAAGGTTTCCTTTCATAGTTTGGCGAGGCTTTCTCAATTTTCCATGTCTATGAAGAAATGAATGGCTGATCTGACCATGTCCATAATTTAACTGAAGGCAGGATCTCAGCAATTTTATGGCATAGAGAGCTAGTTTTATCTTGTGCAGCTGGAGAGATCTTGTTTTGAAATAAATGTGTACTCTTGGTTCATTTCTGCTAGTAGTGAAAAGGAGGCAGTAAAAAGTATAGAATTTGTTCTAATCTCACTGGAGATGGAGTTTGGTGGGGGGGAGGTCACGAGTCATAAGGTGTATGGAATCTGAGCACAGAAGGACTTTAGAATATGTTTGGACCCTTAGGCACCCTTACACATAAGCCACCCACACTCACAACCTTTGTTTTTTATCTAAAAATAATAAGGAAAGTAAAATTTGTCAGAATTCCTACCTTTTCACTAAATAGTGCACAGAAGATAACTTGGTCCTGACAGCCCACCTTATTTTGCATGCAGTTTTGTGTTGATTATGAAACCAAACTAAACATTCTGTTTTAAACATTTGTTTAGATATGCAGGTGCCTTAAGAGCTTCAGGTGAAATGGCCTCCGCTCAGTATATTACTGCAGGTTTGTATTTGGGTGGCAATATAGGAAGTGTGTGTATTATTAAAAATGATATAACAAAACATGCATGATTCTTTTCACAAACCCTTGTTACAGTCCAGTGAGTGATGGCTGTTAGATTGGGAGAGCATCCTAAACTTGAATTAAATCCCTGCTAGCTGAACGTATTGTATAACGTATTGTACCTCATGAATCTTGCCTTTGAAGCCTGCAGTTTAGCAAGTGTTGTGCCAGGCTGTTTTTCTCTTTGTGGAAGAGAAACTGCACATTTATGTAAATGCTTCACTTCAGCGTTAAATGCACATTAGGCTTACTTGCATGCATGCCTTTTTCATTTTGTTTTCCATTTGTTTGATGAAATTGCTGGCATATTGTTCAAATCAGCTGTTGAGCTGTGTACAGTATGTGTCTTTTTGCCAGTAATTGCTAGTATTCGCGAAGGCTTTCACAGCCAGGATCTAATGGTGAAAACACACTGATCACCATAATCATCCATCTCCTGAATAAGGACAAAAGCTGATCCCACAGCTATATAAACTCCCAAACAAACTGTACCAGAGCACAGAGTGCTACTCCCATCCTTTGAAGATGCGGGCTACAGAGACTGGCAAAACGTTAGGAAGAACAACCTTCGGAACATGCCCAAAGAGCTTGAAAACCCCACAACAACCAATTGCTAGTATGTTTCCTAAGCTTTCGAAGAAACTGATTGAATGTATACTTAATGCTTTCAGAGTGTTAAATTACAGTTGTGTCAATGAAGAAAATGTGCTAAAATAATAACTTCTAAGTGTAAAAGCATTTACTAGCAATTGGCTTATTGGACTATGCTATGTTGTGGTATACTCAACTGGCCCATGCAGCAAAAGGTTCTGTTAGAGCTGTGTGATCTTGCGCAATCCTGTTTCCTGGGTAGAGCACATACATATATGATGTAGAAATTAGAGATCCACGATTTGTGCTTTTGGGTTATAACATTCAGAATTCTCCAGGCAATGTGGTCACTAAAACATTGACCTTTTGAAGATACCAGCCTTGCTGATTGGGAAGTACTGGGAATCATAATCCAAAAACAAATCTGCATACCAGTAGTAGATACTGCTATTCACTGAAAAGAGATATGATGATGATATTAAATAGGTATGGGATTTATGGAATATATTGCATGTTCATATCATTTTTATACTTACAATTTGATATTTATTCGGTTATTGAAAACAATTTTGTTTTATTTTTAAGCTCTTAGAGATTTATTTGATTCCATGGATAAAACCTCCTCTAGTATCCCTCCCATCATTCTTCTTCAGTTTTTACATATGGCCTTTCCACAGTTTGCAGAAAAGGGGGATCAAGGCCAGTATCTTCAACAGGTAAATATTTTTATTTATTTTTAGTGCTCAGGTAGCATATTCAGTGTGGGTTCAGCCAATTCCACAAGCCTCAGTTATTCTTAATATAAACTGAGAAAGACCTAATTTTTGTAAATTTAGAACTGGTATCTCTTCTATTTTTACCTGATAGGAAGGCACATTTTTTAAATCACATAGTTGACTCAAATGAATTTGAATTAGACTTAGGCCTGTTGAAGGTGCAGTTTTGTCATAACTGTGATTTCTGCTAATTTCAGTATAGCAAAAACCTTATTAAGACATTACTGTCTCCAGCCTCATCAGTATAGTTTGAAGGGAATGCCTAGCCCTTTGATTTTTCTCCATGTAAAGAATGATGTGTCTGAAGAAGAAAGTTTTTGTTTGCATGTGGGTTCTATCTGCAAGGAAGAACCCAGATTTTTCTAATGGCCAGGATCTTGTTGAGCACCTATGGAAGGCAACACATTGTGGTTGTCAGCATGCAAGTAAAGATTCCGCCTTTGCAAATCGCCGCCTTATGCCTGTGTAAGGTAGTCGTGGATAACCCCTTGTGCAAGCAAGTACTGCGAGAGTAAAACTTACACCACAGCCATCTCTGGCTTATGTGTACACTTACAACATGTTTTTCTTGAATTCCAACTATCATTCACTTTTGATCTACTCTTATAGGATGCCAATGAATGCTGGGTACAGATGATGCGAGTACTACAGCAGAAATTAGAAGGGATAGAAGGTGACACAGTTATGGAAGTAAGTTGACTTCACTGTACAATTCAGTGGAAATGGCTATTAACTGTTTGCCGCATCCTCAGCAATCAGTCATAACAATTCGTTGTTGATAATGTGGTTGGTCCTGTGGAATAGGAATGTCCCAACAATCCTGTCAACAATAATACTGCTTAGGTCTTGCAAACTCAGGGCCATAGGTTTTGTTGTTGTTGCTGCTGAAACAGTCATTCTCACATGTGGTCTTCCTCTTCTCCTGTTGCCTTCTACTTGTCCCAAGATTTCAGTCCTTTCATTGAGTCTTGTCTTTTCATCATGTGCCCAAAGTGTAGAAACGTCAAGTCATTTTTGCTTCTAGATATTTTACTCCTTCATAACTGCCTTTTAAAGTCTTAGGTTGTATGCATTGCATGTCTAAATAAGCTTGGCTTCCAGGGAATGGATGGAACTCGGTATGTATGTTGGCATCACCTTCAATGAGAGGACATTCCACATCTCACGGTCAGCAGTTTTTCCCATTGGTTGACTCCTCACCATGCAAATAGTTCCTCAACAAGGGTGACGAGCCCAGTCTCCCTTGGGAAGTGTCAGAGCTGGGGGGGGGCGGTAGGATCTGGACGCACCACCTTCTTTCAGGGACGCTTCCATCTCGGATAAACGTTAACGGTCCTTTCCAATGGTTCCACTTCTCCTAACTGAATTTCAATGCCCGTGCTTTGTCATCCTCACAAGGAGCCTTTTCCTCTCTCTCTTTTTGCCTTTTCCTTATGTGGAAAAGAGAACCCACAGGGCCCTTCCCCTCCTTCAAGCCATGATCCTTCTTCCTTCCCTTCCTCTCTCTCTCTCAACTCTCTCCTTCCTCTGAGCCCCAGCTCCTCTTCTTCCTCCCTCTGTCTCCCCTGTCTTCCCCTCCTCTTCTGTCATTAAGAAACCTTCTACTATTGACAGTTCCTTTCCCGCTTTTTTTCTTCCCATCTCCCTCTGCTTTCTGACCTTCCCCTAGAACCAGGTTCTGAACCATAGAAGGTAGTGCAGTCAAGGTTTTGTTGACTCCTTCCACACTAGACAGTTGAGGGGACGGCTCACTTCTAGGTTTAACGGTACTGACCGGTTCCTCCTCACACTCTTTCACATATCACATAACAAGGACAAAAGCCTTAGCTTAGTGCTACTAGTTTTTTGTGGGGTTTTTTTGCCAATGTGAGATGCCTATCTAGATTTAATAGACAAATGGTAAAGTGAAGGAGCTAACGAAATATATTGTTTGCTACATGTTCAAAATGAGAATTTAATTATTTATCTGTTGTTTTGTTTTGTTATTTACAGACAGACTCTGGAACATCAGGGGCAACTGCAGCGTCTCCTAAAAAGAAGAGCTTTATTGACCAGTTCTTCAGTATTGAATTTGAAACTACGTATCCTAAACACTTTCTAGGAAGATATCAGGGATGGTGGCCATAGTAGTAGTGGTAACTGTGTGATAGATAAGATTAGAATTGATAAATTTTGCTCGAAGAGGAAATGTGCAGTAAAATGTATTCTGTGATTGTCACTTGCCTGCAAGTATAGAAAACAACAGGAAGGAAGTGGGGCAAAATAAATTAAGAAAATACCACAACATGGGAAGTACACAGATAAGGGTGGTGTGCTTTGTTTTGAGAATGTAATTTGACAGGCTGCTTCAGTTGCATTACCGCAGTGATCTGCTATTATTTCTTTGGTAGACATGCTGGGGCATAAATTGCATGCCCATAATTTTTGTCCTTAATATTATGTAAAGCATGAAATGCACAGAAGCTGAAGAGGAAGATGTTACAAAAGGAAAAGAAAATCTACTCCAACTTAGTTGCTTTATCAATCAAGAAGTAAAATATCTTTTCACAGGTCTTAAATTGGTAAGCAACTGTAATATCTTTGAAAAGAGCTTCCTTTTTGTGACAGAACGTTTGAGATGTCCTGGCCTGAAAACAGGACATAGAAAGGACATGAAATGTGGTGAAGAGAGGTGTGGGGATCATAATCAGATCAGAATATGAAACATAGAATGTACTACATTTTGATGTTGCAAGCCCCTCAGAATACATCAAAATTGTATTTTGATTGCCCCACCACTCCCTGTATTTAGCAGTGCCTCTCGATACTAATAAAGCACAGTATTAATTCTTCTCCTTATCCCCAATGGCCTTGGGAAAGTGTTTTCTGGATGGATTGGACAAAAATTCCTTCATGTTGGTTTGGCATTTACATCTCGAGGGAACCAGGTTAGGGAAGATTGTTTTATTACCTTGGAGTATTTAAAGCCACTGACCTCTTTGATGGAAAACAAGTATTATTGCTGTATTAACAATACTATTGATTGCCAAAATGTCAGTGCAGAGAACCACAGAATTATTGCCATAATTCCAGTAGCGTTTGAGCCTTTTTCTTTAGCTTTAGAAATGCAGAATGTTCAAATGTGGATTATGATACAGCATATGAGGTCAGCTGTATTCAGAAGGACAGTGTAAAAGTGGTGCTGAGTTCCTGCTGAAGCTTTAGCCATTTTTTTGGTTCTTGGCCATTTTGTGTCTTTTTTTTCTCTCAAACCCTAAAAAGTACTTCAGTATAGTACAGATATTTTAGGGAGCAAGGTTTATGGCCTGATTTTACTTGTGATACAAATATTTGAATAACTGTTTGAATATCCGAATAAGAAGATGCATATATACTGCCATTCTCAATTTAGGGTACTTGTGACAGCCTCCTCACACGTCACAAAGGAGCTGCCACGTCACTCTCACACACACACTCTAATCACGCTGCCACCAACCACTCCTTCATAAGACTCTTCAGACAAATGTATGATTTTAAAAATAAAAACTTGTATTTTATTGATAACACCAGAAGGAATGGTAAATCACTTTATCAACTAAAATAAAAAGCCAATCAGTAATAATAAAGTATCCCCTCATACACACTCTCTCTCAGACCTTCACTAACACAGTACTTTATAACATATACAAGCCCTAACTCCCTAAGTCCCTACCAGACCCTATCCAAGCCCTATCTGGTTCATATCATGTCCCTATCTTGGACCCTATCTAAGCCCTATTTTAAACCCTATCTAAGCCCTATCTGACTCACACCTCATTCACTCCCCCCTTAAATACCATGGCTTCACCCTCTGAAGTCCCACCTCCCGTCATGCTATAGGCAGATGAACTCCAGCCACAGCAATGACAGGCAGATGACATCATCACTACCGTCACAGTATTTATCATTGGCATTACTGAAATTATGGAGAAAGCTGCGGAGGAGGCGAACAGAGCCATGTAGTCTATTAGTCAGTGAAGAGATATCAGGAGCTTTAAAGAGCTACTTGAATGCCAGCTGAGAGTGCTTCATTTTCTACCTCCTGCCTTTTCCTCACACCAAGAAGAGGCTGGAAGAATAAATTTTGAAATGTGCAGCTGACATTCCCAGGAAGTACCCACTAAGAATAGTTTGTTCTCCCATCCTCCTACTGTTATAGTAAATTTCACATATCCCTTGTACTGGAAATTCCATGCCTGCAGGTCTTAAAATTTAGTTGTATTCTGAATCACATTTCATTTTATATGCCACCTTGTGGAATATGCATCAAAGTCTTCTAAATTAGAATACAGCTACTTTAGTCATTTTCTTGCTTGAACTAGCTAATCTGTATAGTCTGTAGAAAGAACTGTGCACACAATCATTGTTTAAATGTTTTCATACATTGCTGAAGACTATGTAATAAAGAGAACTCCGCACAAAAATAAAAATTGCAGCTCTCCACCATTTTCCATTCTTGAGTGACAATCTAAACATGTACCAGGTAGAATTATTTATAAATCAGTAGCCTCAAAATGATCCTGCTTGATAAAAACTTTTATTATGGTTTTCTTTCAGCGTCTTCAAGAAGAAATTACCAAACTTTCTCCAGTGTTGCAAAGAAATGCCCTTTATATAAAATCTGTGAGTAGCACATGGTTGGTAGATCTCTTCCTAGTGATTTTATGCAATAACAGTTGACTAGGTGTGTCAGGTGCCTGCAGAGAGAAAATACACTGTACAGTTTCTTTAGTTTAATGAGGAGGAAAAATGTCCTGCTGAAAGAGTCCTCGACAAGGACCCTTGACAGAAGTTGGGCTTCATCCTTTTTCTTTTTTTTCTTTTTTTTCTTTTTTGGAGGGGGTTTGGGACATTTTTTTTCTTCCTATGCAAGCAAGTGGAGAACTCATTCCTTTTATTTACACAGAGAAAAATAGACTATTTGGTATATCAGCTTGGTCTTCCCTGCAAGCACAGGTACAGTGGTGCCTCACTTTACGATCTCTCCGTTTAACAACAAAACCACATTACAATTCACTTTTTGCAATTGCTTTACGATGTTTCCTATGGGGGAATTTCGCTTTGTGACGATCGGTTCCCTGCTTCGGGAACCGATTCTTCGCAAAACAATGGTTTTAGAACAGCTGATTGGTGGTTTCAAAATGGCCACCGGGTAAACAAAATGGCCCCCCGCTATTTTCTGGGACGGATTCCTTGCTGCACAGGCAGCGAAAATGGCCACCCTATGGAGGATCTTCGCTGAGCGGTGAGTTTTAAGCCCATCGGAACGCATTAAACGGGTTTTAATGCATTTCTATGGGCTTTTAAATTTCGCTTTACGACGTTTTCGTTCTACAGCAATTTCGCTGGAATGAATTAACATTGTAATGCGAGGCACCACTGTATTGGAGACCTCGGGTATATGGAAACAAGTCAATTTATCGAAATACATGTATATGTTACATCAGGGGAAATAGAACTGCAAACTAGGTAGAGGAACAGTACTTGGTCTTGGTTATGCAATTCTGTGTGGAAATCTGTGGACAAAGTGTATTGTGCATACATATTTGAATGGGTACTCTGTACATATAATCCAAATACAGTTAACAGAGATGTGCATGGTGAAAATTTTAAAACTGCTTTCAGTTTGGGTTCTATCAAGGAAGGAATGCCTCTTCTACTTTCATGTTTTTCAAATACCAGTCCTTTCATTTTATTAAAAGTAAAAGCCTTTTTCAGGTTCTTTCCATTTCTGGTTTCTTAAAAAAACCTCTTCCAGAAAAGCAGAGGGAAGGGAACAAAGAATCAATGTATTTCAAAAGTGGGTAATAGTACTTGAAAATAACAGTAAAACATCCACCATAACATAAACCTTTAACAGAATAAATACACAATGAATTAACAAATACTATTAAAAATTAGTCAAAATAAAAAAACATTCATGTAGCCAGGCCCCTGTTCCAAAAACCGGTAAAAGTAAAATAAACAAATATAGCCAAAATTTTACAAAATACTTCTCCCCAAAGAAAACCACTGGAATATGGTGATATGTACTTTCCTTGTCGCCTTCTGAGCCCAGCAGGCATACCAGGCCCAGGCCTCAAAAAATTACGAATAAAGGACAAAAAAGAGAAAGGATCAAAGAGCAAAGGCAATAGGAGCTCAGCACACAGTCATCCCACACACAAGTAAAAAGACAAGCAAAAAGAACACATTAGGTTCCAACTTTTTTTAGAGATTAAAAATTCCTACTCCGCTCCTTTCCCCTGGATATTCTGATTGGCTGCTGACAGTTCTCATTTTCACACCACCAAAGTCTTTGCAGTAGCTCTCGTGATGCTATTGGATGAAAAATTTATTAGATGATTTGACATACAAAGAGTGAAAGAAAAGTTACATAAAAAACCACAAAACTGTATCATTTATATGACTTGTATTTTAGAGGTTCAGTTTCAGGAATCAGTGGGTGCAGGAAGGAGGTTCTTTTGTGGTTTTTATGCGTCATTACAGGTTGAAAGGCCCAAAACCCAATGGTGAATTTGGTGTTGCTAATTCCTCCATTTCATGTGCTTATGCTTGCTGCTGAAGCAGTGATTTTCTTGTTACAATAATGACAGTGAATGCTTTTCTTGTTCTAGTCCAAGATAAGTCGCCTGCCTGCTTACCTGACTATTCAAATGGTTCGTTTCTTTTACAAAGAGAAAGAATCTGTAAATGCCAAAGTTCTCAAGGTACGATTGCTAAAGTTTCTTTCGTTTTGGTGTTTGCTCTTAGTGGTTATGTAACACCAAAGTGTGACATATTGCTTTATATTATACGTCAGTTTACATATGGTCATCTACTTACCAAATGTCTACCTACAAATGGAAATAAAAGTTGGACCATCACAACTGAGGTGATCTGATTAAGTGGGAGTTTCTGCTCTAGAAAATGTGTGAAACCAAATATATAGTAGAGGATAAAAGGCAAAATACTGCAGATGTATGATATGGGTTTTCTAGGCTTTTATGATGTCCACTGAGTGTGCAGTTGGACACAGCCTAAGTCTAGGGATAATAAGACTTCTTTCAATAAGTGAAATTAGTTTCGTTTTAAAAGCTGTGGAAGATAGTGTCCTTAGTGGTAGATTAACTTCATAGGATGACATACATAGTTATTTCTTTTGTTTGTTTTAATTGCCTCTAGGATGTTAAATTTCCTCTTATGTTGGATGTATATGAACTATGTACACCAGAGCTTCAAGAAAAGATGGCTTCCTACCGTTCAAAATTTAAGGATCTAGAAGACAAAAAAGTAAATCAACAGACAAAAAATGTAGGTAACCCATTAAGTTTCATATATTGGCATATTAAATGTGTCTTGTGTAGACCTTACATCAGTGTATTCAATTAAATGGGAATTTAGCGAGTCAACTCTGTAGCAATTCAGTGGACCTACTCTAGATTTACGGACTATCCTAAGCAACAGAATTGTGGTCAAAGTTTTAGACTGAATTTGGGTGGGAGCGTACACTTGGTAGGTGGAGCAGCTGATACAGTGGGGGCTGGGCTTACAAACGGTTCTACATACGAACTTTTCGATTTACGAACCCGCCCAATAGGAAATTACATACTCAACATACAAACTTCCCTCGAGTTACGAACAGGAAAAAAGTGCCCCCTACTTCCCGTTAGAGGCTTCTGGAGAGGGAAAAAAGGTCAGAAACTTAAAAATAAATAAAAGAAAGTCACTTCCCAGGCCTCGGTAGCCCCCGAACTGCAGGAAAAAGAGCAGGAACCAGCTAAAAGCCTGCACCCAGCAGGGAGCCTGCCAGCCATTTTGTGCTTTTCTCTGCTCCTGCCCCCTCCTCTCCCCGCCTAACAGCTGATCGGCTGGCTCTGAAGAGGCTTGGGGGAGGCTTGCTCAGCACCTAAAAAGCCTGCCTGTGTGTCTTTGTGCTGAAAAAATCAGCACAACATGCTTTAAAACATGCTTTAAAATAGGCTTCGTTGAAAAAAAAATTCATAAGTGCTTTTAAACTGTTCCCTGCCTCCCTCCTCCTTTCCTGAACTTTTCTTGACCTAAGAAAAAAGAAAAAATATCCCCCTCTAGTGGCAGAAGGCGGAATAGCAGCTTCCCATTAGTTTCCCATTAGTTTCTATGGACAGAAAAGAGCAGATATGGATTAAATGGTGACTCTATCTGTTTCTCTCTCTGGAATTTGAGAAGGGACTTGTGGTAACAGAACCTTTGTGACTGCTGTTCAGGGCAGGGGAGAAATCAAAATGGACCATCTGACTCATAACTTTTGTGAGCACCTCATGGCTATGGTGGATCTTCCAGATCTTCTTTAAGAAACCTAGGTTGAATCTGCCTCTTTAGTAACATGGAACTTTATAATGCTTTAATTGTGAAGCCTCAATTTTTTAACAAGCTTTTTAAAATCCTTCTTGAAATCCCATTGCAAAAAAAGACAGGAAACATTAAGTAGAGAGCTTTCAGAGTTCGAAATTCTCTCTCTGATGTTTCAGGGCTTGTTCTAGTTCAGAAAACAATCTTAGTTTAATAAGTGTAGTCAACTTATTAGGGAATATGCTTACACACCCCCATCATCCTTCCTTTGTGTGTCATAATGCAGTTTCTTAAATATCTAAATCAAGAAATCGTGTTTTAAACCAAGAATGATCTTTGCTTGCTAATCATGATCAAACTGTGATTCTGGGTTTGTTGTTTTGGTTAACCTTGTAAATACTGTATTAATGCATCTGAGAGAATGGATTGGATGAACATTTTTATTAGGTTGACAATTTTATATCTGAACCATGCCTGGGGTAGGCAACTACAAGGGAAAGTTGCTCGACTCTCCTCCATCACATCATTTGAAAGTAGGGAATAGATGTAGCTTAAAACGTGATTGTCCATGTCTTTCTTCAGCTGCTTTATGACTGCATTTTTACCCTGGACAGGCAAAAAGAGAGTTCAGCTCATGTTGTATGTTCCTTTTGCTCATTTTACATATGATCGGAGCAGATCTAGATTTAAATAAGCAGAACAGTCACCATGAAATCTTGGTACGGTTTAAGATTTAAAAAAAAAATACAGAAACAGATGGAAATGGTTTCTCATTGAAGAGATTTTCAGTAGGTATCATTGTATGTACTTTAAATGCATTTATATTTTGTCATACGAATTAGCTTATGTAAACAAGATAAATTGTTTTATTTTTAAGTCTAGTAAAGGTGATGGTGCGCAGAAGGAAGTTAAATATGAACCCTTCTCTTTTTCTGATGGTAAGTGAATACTAAAAGAGGTAAAGGTAAAGGTTCCCCTTGACAATTTTTGTCCAGTCGTGTTCGACTCTAGGGGGCGGTGCTCATCCCCGTTTCCAAGCCATAGAGCCAGCGTTTTATCCGAAGACAATCTTCCGTGGTCACATGGCCAGTGTGACTTAGATACGCAACACTGTTACCTTCCCACCGAGGTGGTCCCTATTAATCTACTCACATTTGCATGCTTTCGAACCGCTAGGTTGGCGGGAACTGGGACAAGTGACGGGTGCTCACTCCATCACGTGGATTCGATCTTACGACTGCTTGGTCTTCTGACCCTGCAGCACAGGCTTCTGTGGTTTAGCCCACAGCGCCATCACATCCCTGATACTAAAAGAGATTTAATGTCAAAATTTAAAACATGACTAGTCCCTTAGCTTACTTAAATTACCTAAAGAACTATTCATTAATACCAAAGAACTGAAGATAGCTAGAACACTCTTATATCTTGTCTGAATACATAGAGATATGTTTAAAGACCAGAGTGAAAGTGCATGCATCTGTTACATTCCTTAATGGTACTTGTTTGCAGTAAATGAGTAACAAAAAATTTAATGGTAGAAAATTGGAGCATGGAAAAGGCAGAATCATTATATCAGAAGATGGTCGTTAAGCAGCCAATTGATCTTCAAATGTGTATTGCAGTATGTGTCTTTTCTGTTGGTGCATGTGTTTCCTGAATTATGTGTAAGGTTTGAACTTGTACTGCTCAAAAGTACCGTATTTTTCGCACCGTAAGACGCACTTTTTTCCCACAAAACAGGGGGGTGGAAAGTCTGTGCGTCTTATGGAGCGAAGAAAACAGATTATATTTTCCTGTTTTCTTCTCCTAAAAAATTGGTGCATCTTATGGAAAGGTGTGTCTTATGGAGCGAAAAATACGGTATCTTTTATTGAGTTAGTTTAGCAACTTAAAATGTTTTTTTCAGCAGGACGGATAACCTTCGATGGTGGTAGAATTTTTTCCTTTATTGTAAGTTTTTAAACAAAGGCAGGGTGGCCATATGACAGGGATGCTTTTGGCAGTGGATTATCTCCTTTGGGATGATGACCCTTGCAATCCATTATCTTGTCCAGTTGTACAGTTTGCTATATATGTCTACACATTTCCTTACACTCAGTCAGCTTAGTTAGACAATTTCTCCTGATACTTGCTCTGCTGTCCCCATTTGCCATGGGTGCATGCTTGTATGGAAAAACTGGGTGCTCACAAATAAATTTACTAGTTGCACAGGGTAGGTTATTTTAACATTGCTTTCTTTCTCCCCTCTAGACATTGGCTCCAACAACTGTGGTTATTATGACCTGCAGGCAGTGCTAACACATCAGGGAAGATCTAGTTCTTCTGGACACTATGTATCTTGGGTTAAAAGAAAACAAGGTACTGAAGCAACTTTAGAAGTTAGCAAAACAAAAGTGTAAAGTTGTTAACCACCTTTCTTAAATGGCAAATTGGAAAACTTAGGTCTGCTTTTATGTCAGGTAGAGTGATAATTTACTATTGTATTTTTCTTTACAGATGAATGGATTAAATTTGATGATGACAAAGTCAGCATTGTTACACCTGAAGACATTTTGAGGCTATCTGGCGGTGGCGACTGGCATATAGCTTACGTTCTACTTTATGGGCCACGCAGAATTGAAGTAATGGAAGATGAAGCTGAACAGTAGACTTCATTTTTACAGATTTCTGCCTAGGTGTGAAATAAATTTCTGAACATGAGCTTCATAGAGAATGCAAAATTGGTTCATGCAGTTTACTGTCATTTGGAGCAGCGAGAAAGTGAAGCTCATCTGCACTAAAGCCATTACTACATGACGCCGCCCGTTGCTAATGGTAACAGGCTGATACATCTTGAATTTTATTTGCTGCACTGCAAGTCAGTTTTAAAAACAGTCTAACTATTGGTGAAATTAGGTGAGCCTCCTGCCTTCCTTCTGATATTGGCAGCAAGATATTTATTACACACCTATTCATGCATCATCTGTTGTTAACTCTTGCATGGTTCTACCTGTTCAGTAGCTGTCCATTTTTTCTATTGTGTCTGATATCATTGTCAGAAAGGTGAAAAAAAATCCATTGTTGCCTCAACATGTAACTCAGTGCTGCTGTCTATAGCCTGTGGAAATACGGCTACAATCACGTATTTGTCCAGCCTGACGTGCCAACTCAGCCTGTCCTGTTGTTGGTATTTCATGACTTTAAATAAATGGTGATCAGTAATGATGGTGCTTCTTACACTACTGCGACTGCTGTTTTTTCTTCCATATAGAATATCAGAGTAAAACCTTATCAACTGGATAGCTAGCTTTCTGTCTGTACTGATGTTATAATTATCAAGAGTCAAAAATGCTACCAACCTAAATGCTTTGGACAGCCAGAGACCACTCATTGTCATGTTGAGGTGTAAATTTTGTCCAAACTGAACATAGAACAAAAAACTTGAGGCAGGGATGCATAACCTTTGTCGTTTAAATGTCTTTCCCGGGTGGGATTTGAAATCCAAAAACATTTAGAAGCCCACTTTTGTAGTGAGAAGGGAAATGTTGGAGATCAAATGAGCTCAATAAATTTTTACACGTTTCTGGGGAGTGATAGTTGCAACACTGTCAAACGGGATTTCTCCCTGACCTCCCTGCCTAGCATGAACAATGAACAAGTTTTCCTACCTTCCAAAAGTGCCCTGCATGGGGACACAGATACCAGATGAAGGCCAGGCAAGCCTTGATTAAACAAAACCACGTAACTAGGAGGACGCACTAAGCACTCAGATTTCTCTTTAATCTTGCAGTTCGTCAAGATAAAAAAGGCAAATGACAAAAATATATAAAAGTTGACTGCCTCAGGGTAGGTCTACTCGCCACCATTTATAAACATTTATCTAATGGCTAATGTGGAACTCCTGAAACAAGTGTACATTCCTGCAACAGCTGTTTCAGACACATAATGTCCTTCATTTTGATACCAAATTTTTATCTCTTGGATGAACTCTACCATCTGTTGTGCATAACTACACTGCAGTACAAAAGCCAAAACCAAGTCAGGAGAAACACAGCAGGCACCAATATGCAAGTTTACTATCTAACACACCTCTAACCCCAAGTAGACCACACTGTTAAAGGAATCTAAATCATATAGAAAAGGGTTGTGCGCTCACCCTCTCACTAACACACACATCTTTCTGCTTAGGCATAATTTGGGAGTGTCCATGGTCAGAGATTCATTTTTGATCAGTATTAACCCTTTCTTTTTTTGGAATGTATAGATAATGTTATTTAAAAGGGGTTTTAAATTGTTTACCATTTTACGCTGCTCTAGGTTCTGTTACTTTGCAACAATAGCCACTTTTGTTTTAAAAAGAATAGCTATTCCCAAATTAGCCATTGTTTTCACTGTCATTTGTTAGGGTTTCTGCAAGGTCATTCAATCCAGCTTTGCTCAACGCAGTGATCAGATTTTCCACAGTAGCATGGATCCCCTCTTGGTCTTGCCAAGTAACAAGCAGCTGCTTAGCTCTCATCTTCATATCTTCACTATCTGATTCAATCTGTCTTATATCAGAGTCTTTCATTTCCAAGTAGGGAGCCAGAAGTTTCCAATATTCCCCAAGCTTGTTAGCAAACAATTCTAGTTGTTCCCCTGTTACAAGTTTGTCCCGTTGAACATCTGGACCTGAAACAAGAACAAGAGAATAAGCAATGTGTCAAATCAGAACTGACTACAGTGATCCTAAGAGTTTTCAAGGTAAGTGAGATATTTAAGGAGTGGCTTTATTAATTCACCCCACAGTGAGTTTTCTATGGCAAAGCCACAGAATTGAACCCATCTCTCCTGTTCTACTCCATTGTTCTGTCCACCACACCACACTTGGTACCCCATTTAAGCAATATGCTATTAGAAACAAATGAAAGTAGTTTTTGAAAACCAGCCATCAGCATTTTCAAGATTTCAGTTAATATTCCTACAAGCATGCTTTGATAGTTTTATTTAAACTTGTCACATCTAGTGCTCCTACAAATGTATGACAGAACAAACACTTGCCAGTTAAATCTATCATATGAAACACGTTTTACATATTTCACTTCTCCTTTCCCACTCATGACCAAAAATTAAACGCTACAGGGAGGTTTCTTACAGCATTACCTTGCAATTATTCTGCACCACTAAGCAAGCAGCCATGCCAGGATGAACTTTCAAATACCCTATTCCCCTGAAAATAAGCTCTAGCATGATTTTTCAGGATGTTTGTAATAGAAGCCCTACCCCCAAAATAAACCCTAGTTAAGTGAAACTCCACCCTCTACCCTTGTGCAGCAACCAGAAACAGATGACATGACTGTATTTGAATAAATGTTTGTCCTATATGAAAAAAAAATCCCCTGAAAATAAGCCCTAATGTGTTTTTGGGAGCAAAAATTAATATAAGACCCTGTCTTATTTTCAGGGAAACAAGGTATATCATGTCACTATATTCCTATCTGTCTTCTTCTTACTAGTTTTCAAACCATCCAAATGTATGGCTGCTATATAAGTATTACAGTGGTGCCTCACTTAACGATGTTAACTGGTTAAAAAAACATCGCTATGGGAAAACATCGTTAAGCGAAATGCGTTTTCCCATAGAGATGCATTGAAAATGGGTTAATCCGTTCCAATAGGCATGGATTGCCGTCCTTAAGCGAAAAAACCCATAGGAAACATCGTTAAGCGATACAATGTTTCCTCCATTGGAATGCATTGAAGCCTATTCAATGCATTTCAATGGTTTTGCGATGTCCATTTTTGGTTCAAAAACTATTTTTGAAACAAATTCAGCAAAAATTAACGAAAAGTCAGATCAAAGCCAAATTAAGTTTGCACACGTTTTAGAAGGTGCACTAACGATTCCAAGCATTTAAAACATTTTTGAACATTTTAAGACACTTAAAATTGAAAAACGGACATCGTTAAGCGAAACAGGGGACCTAAAAATGCATTCGTTATGCGAAGCATGGTCCTAAAATCGCTAAGCGAAAATCGGCCATAGGAAACATCGTTAAATGATACATAGAGTTCTTTTAAAAAATAGTTACGTGAAAACATCACTAAACGAGGCAATCGTTAAGTGAGGCACCACTGTATATAGTGTTCTCTCTAAGATTTGTTAGGCATTCCAGAAGGAAAAGAGACACCTAAGATACGACCTACTCTGGCAAATTTTGTGTTACCTGAATTGTGGGCAAACCTCTCAGCTACTGCTTGTAAGTCACTGTTAATAATGGATTCTACATTGCATGCTGACTGTTTTAGAGTTAGTAAAAGAAGGTAGCCAGTTTGCAATAATTTTGCAAGATGAAGAGCATACCCTCAGTCTAAAAGGAGAAAATTGCTTATTATCAAGGTTTCTTAACCTCTTCTAATGTTTATCAAATCACACAGTTTAACAATTCACTTTAGAAACAAAATGAGAGAATGGAATAGCTACATGGGTGGAAACCTCAAGGCATCTGTTAATACAGTAGTTTGAAAATAAGGCTGAGGGGGAAAAGGCAAACTTCAGTTGAGCTACACTAAATAGAAGATGGCTAGGAAAAGTTGTAAAGAGAACAAAATGTGATAAAAATAAGAAAGGGTGACAGAACAGCCTGCATGACCAGGATTCAACTGAAAATAATGTAAAATAAGGCTACTTTTTCAATGTAATTTTTGATACAGAGGCCATAATTGGAGTCATTCATGAATAAGCATAACAGAACTAACTGCATGAAATTTACATCATTCACAGCATTGTATATGAAGTGATCACAGAAATGGTGAAGGAAATCGTGCAAATAAATTTAGCAGCAGAAATAAGCGGACTGAGGACAAGGAAGGAAAGACAAGGATAAGCAAGATTATGGACAAACTGTTTCACATACTAGGAGAAAGGAGAAAGTGTAACTGTGAGGGTAAATGGTCTTGTAAAATTTCTTTAGATGAAGATGGAATAAAATTTACATTGACTTCTAGGATGGAAATACATATATACAATTAATTTTTACAACATATAACTAATGACAACTGCAGACAAGATAATACTGCCTTTAGAAGAACACAGTTTGCCAAAAGGAGCTATGACAGAAAGGCATTAAGAACAGTGTTTTCAAGGTCTACTCTTATATGCAGCATGGATCCAGTATGCTGGATGAAATACCATCAAGACAGCCAGATTTGCAATAAACTGCAAGGAGTATTTCAGTGCAGTAGGTCTAGAAATCTCTATTTTGTGTAATCAAGGAAACAAATTATGTAGTTTCTCATAAATACATGACTTGAACACAAATTATTATTGCAGATCAGAAGCTGTAAATAAGATGAACTAGGAAGGAAAAGAGCATCTGTTCACATACTCCTTTTACAACATGTGTCAAGGGAAATGGAGAGTAGCCCAAGAACACAAGCTTACTTTCATTGTTTTCCTTTAATAAAGCATCATTATCTTCTTCATCTTCCTCCTCGCCTGTTTTAATTTCTTCAGAAGGAGGCTATAATGAGAGAACTGAATATCACTGGAAGAATATCCCAAGATGAGTGCTATGCAGCAATCTCCAAAGCATATGTAGTAGAACAGAATGTTTAGAAATACATTTTGGAAAAATTAAAAACCTCATACCTTGTTTTCAATATGGAGACTGGTCCTAAAATCATAATAAACCTTGGCAGAAGTTTTCAATCAAAACTTAAGAACTCTTAATTATCGTCAGTTGCATTTTATTTTGATGCTAACTGAAAATATTTCACTTAAATTTTTTAAGGCTATCACACAAAATTCCTAGGATAGAGGAGTGACAACATTTCATTGCAATAAAAATGATTTTAATGTTTAGCTATTAGTCTGTGGAGAGAAGGAAACATAAATCAGCTTCATTTAATGCACTGAAAAATTGTCAAGGTTTATTTCCACTGTTCTGTTTTTTGTGCACATGAAAGTCCAACAGAATGCCCAGTTCATGACTTTAGACTCCTCCAAGAAGATAAGATAGGCATACATAAATAAGCAAACAAAGGAAAGGAGGATGTTAAAATCCAAAATGTATCAGTATTCTGATGATTTGTCTTTTCACAAACTGAAGCTAACAGGTATTTTGGTAGGTGTGTTACAAAGGCATTGGAAGAAAACCACTGCAACAAAACTTGGTAAATAAGATCTGCATGCTGAATAATTTGTTCTGAATATTCACTTTGCCACTTCTGTATTGTAAGTAGCATAAAAGAGTATCAAAGAGGGACAGCTGAAAAGAGGAAATGATGAAGGGATAAAAATGTAAGGGTAACAAAATGCTTTAGTTACTAAGTACTTACAGGTAGTTCTTTAGCTAACTTGATGACCATATTTTCAAGATATTCTGGTAAACTTTTAAACTGCTGGTTGGTTGGCTGAAAGAAATGAGGACTTCTGCGAGCCAACAGTCTTAATGCTCTCCAGCCATAGTTAGAATTATTCACAACTCTGTAATGATAAAGTCAGAAACAGTCTGCCATTTAGCACCTAGGAAAGAAAACACCTATTTGTGTTACCCAAATTACAGCCCTGTAGCAGACACACACTGAGATCTGGTTAAAATGGCACTGACACAAAGATGAACAGCAAAGTAAAGAAGTATTCTAATACATACTTGAATTCTTTATCAACCATGTTTTCAGGATCTGCCTGTTCAATAGCCTCTTCAAAGAACTCTTCCAAGGTTGGCATATATTCCCTATGAAAGAAAGACAGGTTTTAAGTGCTTAACTTTCTGGATGATAAGTTCCCAACTGTTTGTGGTCTGTGTGCATATCTGCAATGTTGAGAAATGGTACAGGTGCCACCACGACTTGGCTGCCATGGAAAGTATAAATACTCACGAAATAGCAATGAAATCTGATCTAGTAAATAAAAAAAATCATGAATTTCTATTACTTTAACACAGGATGCCACCCAAAACATCAAGTTGTGCTGGTATGATATTCAGTGCCATTTAAAATAAAACTTCACAGCTCGAAGACACAGAACCACCTGGATCTCATGACTTAAGATGTAATGGCACTTTGAAGGGGCATCCTTCAAAGTACCCCTCAAACCACCTCATAACTTGCATCCATGGTTGTAGTCGCCCGATAAATGCAGTCTACAGAGACCAGTGTCAGTTTTAATTCTTGGTTGTTGCTGAGGCGCTTCTATGTAAAATGTCTTGGAAATGCAATAACAAGGATGAAAGTGGAAGGAGGAGAGCCTAGCAGAACAAAAATATTTTAAAAGAACAGGAAAATACTTCAGCCTGGAGTTGGGTCAAATGTCATAGCTGTTCACAGAAGCATGCTAACATGAAAGAAAATAGAAAGGCTTCTTTCCTCTCTACCGTTCCAACCATAAAGCCCAATAAATCTGGTGGCATGCAAAACTTCCACGGGATTGCTCTTTCTAGCCTAGCTCATACAAAGACATCCATACACAGTATTTCACAGTGCAGAAAGCGCTATCATTTAACAGTAAAACTTTCAAATCTTTATTTTTTCAAGGCTTTCTCTCTCTGAAATAGTAGTGCACACATGCACACCTTTCCCAAGGGCAGAAAGAAGAAAAGGTGAAACGCACAGTGGCATCGGAAGTAAGAGTTGGAAAAATGATGTCTGCCTGGGCAAATATGCTGAGCATTCACTTGGGACAGCAGCAATAGCAGCAGCAGGAACCCATTTAGTGCAATGAAAGCTCCAGGTCTCCTTGTGGGAAGACAACACACATATTTACTACAATATGATCACTGATTAGGTTCAGCTTCTTTCAAAATTAAAACATCAATCCATGGGGAGGGTGGAAGTACTTGGAAAGAGCAAGTTCCCATTCTGGAGCATGCTTACACCAGCTGGAGCCTCATGGCAGGGGGCAAGTTGCTCTTCAAATAAGCAAAGCTAGGCAAAGCCTGGGTGTTGAATTGCAACGCAGGTACCACAGAAAGGACCAGCTCAGATGACCTTATTAACACAAACACTCCTATTTCTCTAATGGAAGAAAGGGAGAAGCTACAGGGTTGGGTGCCCAGAAGCCTGTACCTACCAGACTCCTGCTGTAGGGATCAAAGCTGCAAACTCAGTGCTGGCAGAATATTTCCCCCCACAGCTTCAATACAAAGTTATGGAGCAATGGCTCCTTCTACACTTGCCTCAACAAGTGAGAAGGCCTCCTCTGAAACTTTGCTATTATTTCCATGCTAGCTTCTATCTGGATACTCAAGTGAAGGCCCTACCTATATGCTTTGGAGGCCACAGTGCCTGTGCAGGTTCAGCCAAGGGAGAAGGTACAAAATGACACTCTCTCCTAAGCCATGGCAAATAAGGTCAAGCAAGGGATTGTCACTGGCACTCCTTGCTATACATTAATAAAATTCCATATGCTTTCTTACCAGAAATCTACACAGCTTCCCCAAGTAGCACATGCTCCCCACTGGTAAGTAAACTACAGTACTTCAAAATATGTACAGAGGACAGGTAACAATATCTTGTGCAAATATGAGATGATGAAATCAAAATCTGTAAGAGAACTCCCTTCTCCCAATATAGACGGTTGGATCCAAAGAAAAGCCTGTGGAAAAGACCAAGTGGAAAGTAATTCCCCACAGCTCCTAAAACCTTTTTCCAAGCATTGGCAGACTGTGCTGAATTGCTTGCTTCAGAGGGAAATCTGCAAAGGCCAGGCAGAATCATCTTCCATCTGTCTTCTGTGGGCTCAATCCCTGGATCTTATACACCTCTTTTAACTTTATTAGCACACCTGTGATGCTGCTTCAGGATTCACTACTAGCATCAAAGCAAACATTTTCCTCTATGGTGGCTCTACTATTTTTCATTTTAATATGCTTACCGACTCTCAGATTTACAAGCTTCCATGTTATCAGGACATAAATTCCACAGGCGAGTCAATTCTTCACTGTAAGGACAAATACAAAACAGATTACTGAATTTTTATATTTCATCAAGTAATGCACTGAAGTATCAAACACTTTGTAAGACAGGTTAATTCAACAAATGCACAGTTTATGTGTGAATATATGAGAGACAGAAAATCAGCACCACTGATTACCACTATTCAAAACTTTAGATTTAACTTCTCCTTTCAATTCCTAGGGAATAAATTATTCTACATGGTTGCTTCTAAAACGCAAAATGTTTCTTCACAGACATAAACTTAAGAGAAATACTAGTAAGGTTTCAATAAGGAATAGAAAAGACTCTTTCAGTGAAAATGGCTTTGCATAAACATTAGGTAAATTTAACCACCACATCCTTCGAGCTTTATATTACTTTTCACATCATCAAATCATTTATACAAAGTTACAAGTATACATATGAAGAAAAATAAAAGGTAGACATACTTTCCCATAAGAATTTTTTTGTTGGGTCCTTTTCCCAGGAAATCTTCAGGAGCTGGTCTTTTTCGTGTAAAAGGTCTTATTGGCTTTGAATCACTAGGTCTGCAAATTTACAGGATAAATAATATGTTAGAGTTTGATACATTTCGGGGGAGGGAGAGTGGAGGCAGCAAAATGAACTTAGGGAGACCACATACAGTCCAAATCTTGGCCACCACAATTCAGAAGAATGAAGATACCTGCAAACCTGCAGGCCGAGGCCCTCATTTCCCTCAATGGTTCTTGCTCCCAAACTGTTCAAGGAGGGTTATGAAACAAGTCCTGGGGTCTTAATTATCCACTATTAACCAGTCCCTATTTCTCCTTCATGTCATTCTTCCCCCATTCAGTATTCAGAAGCCAGCTTGAGGAATCATCACTCTTAGCCTCTGTCATCTTTCTAATAAACTATCTATTTGTTACAATGTTCCATTTTCAGCCTTTTTTGTTTGCCTCCTTCAGCTACAGTGGACCCTCTACTTACAGAATTAATCTGTATTGGAAAGGTGGCTGTAGGTTGAAAACTCTGTAGGTCGAGTCTCCATTGACCTACGATGCATTGAAAACCGATTAATCCATAACCGGCCGTTTTTGCTCCATTTTGTTTTTTTTTTCTGGTCTGTATGTTGATTCTCCGGCTGCAAGTCGAACCTAAATTTTGCAGCCAGAGAAGTCTGTAACTCGAAAAGTCTGTAAGTCGAGCCATCTGTAAGTCGAGGGTCCACTGTATGAGGATAATGAAGATTTACTGTTACGGTTGTTGTGGGTTTTTCGGGCTCTTTGGCCGTGTTCTGAAGGTTGTTCTTCCTAACATTTCCCCAGTCTCTGTGGCCGGCATCTTCAGAGGACTCTGAAGAATCCGGCCACAGAGACTGGCGAAACGTTAGGAAGAACAACCTTCAGAACAGGGCCAAAGAGCCCGAAAAACCCACAACAACCATTAGATCCCAGCCGTGAAAGCCTTCACGAATACATTTACTGTTATACTTGTAGCGTTCCGGAGAGACTCTAATAAAGCCACACTGGAAATTATGCTATCAATTTCTGTTCTTTTCCTTTTCTTTTTTCTTTCTTTATTGTTTTAAATTAAAGCTCTCATATCACATTTTTATTTTGGAGTCTTTTTGTAAAGGCAGCAAAATATTAGAAGTCACTCTTCTTTCCACAGCTGGTTCTCAAAGATTTTACAAGTTCAGGATAATACACAACTATTCATTTATTACTTTAAACAAGATAGGATATATACAGGTATTACAGGAACATTTTGCCCATATCAGGAATACCGAGTCATTCCAACCTCTAAAGATAACTTTAAAATATATATTTTTAAATTGTTACCTTTCCTTCACAAAACTTGGGCAACCTTCATTTTTCCACGAATTCCAATTTTCTTCTGTGTTAAGTATGTGCTGTAAAAGCAAAACACATAAGAATGTGCCAGCATGATTTAACAAACACCTTCAGTATTAGTGATGGGATTTTTTTAAAAAAAGGAAATTTTCTGATAATGGCCGAAATTCTAAAGTAAACTGCAGTTAGAGTAGGCCCATTTGAATCAATGGAATGTATGGAGGAGTTGACTCACCAAGTCTATTTTAGTGTGATTTATAATAACACTAAGCAACAGGATTTGGGCACTATCAGATAGTGTCATGGCCACAAGAGAACAGTTGAGAAGTATTTTTGCAATTAGTACCGTATTTTTCGCTCCATAAGACACACCTTTCCATAAGACGCACCGATTTTTTAGGAGAAGAAAACAGGAAAATATAATCTGTTTTCTTCGCTCCATAAGAGGCACAGACTTTCCACCCCCCGTTTTGTGGGGGGGGAGTGCGTCTTATGGTGCGAAAAATACGGGGTACATGGTTTTCAGAATGTTTGCAGAGACAATCCTACAGCTGCCTAGAGTAGCTGTTTTGACCAGATAGGCGGGGTACAAATAGAATGGATGGATGGATGGATGGATGGATGGATGGATGGATGGATGGATGGATGGATGGATGGATGGATGGATGGATGGATAAATATGATGCACTGCAGTAATCCAACAAGGTCATCAGAGTGTGGACAACAGTAAGATGTCTTTCTGTCTAAATAAGACTGCAATTCATTCCTCAGCCTAAGCTGATAAATGACAGAAGACCCTCATAGTTATAGAGGCTGCTTATGATTCCAGTGGCATTGCTAGACTAAAAAGCATTGACAAAAACTGAACCTGATCCTTTGCAACCCCACCCAGAAGAAGCCAACAACCATTCAGCCAGGCAAATGAATTAACCATTAAAGAATCTCACTTAAAGTAGATAGGATGCATAAGCTAACCTGTTCCTCCATTCCTTTGTATTCCTGCATTGAGCAAGGGGTTGGACTCAATGGCCTTCCAATTTCATTATTATATGATTCAATTTATGAGAAGGCCACTCACCTCCACCATTTTTGAGAATCTTTCTCCATCTGGGGGATTTTCTGAAAGAAGCTGTTATTGGAAAAAGCAAAATACTTAGATAATCCAAGGTGCAGCTGTACATTTAAAAGACAGATACTAAACAACATTATGAGTATGAAATTACAAATACGAAGTAATCTTCTGGTTTCTAACTATTACCCAGAAGACCTTTTATAGTCTAGATGACACAGTTTTAATTTTCCTATTTAAAAGCAAAATTACACAGAGCCATAAAAGCAAATTGTGGCAAAAATTGAATGCCCCAGAAATTCTATCCCTGCACGCATCTTGTTAAGTTACAACAGACAGCTAGAATATATGCAAAATGTTGTGTACAGCACTGACCTGGTAAACTAACTTGGTAGTATCTTCAATCCACAGGGACTGCTCATCAGTTAGAATGTAGTTTGAACTACGAAAGCAAACCCATCAGGGAAGAGTCAGTATGAGAGGCATTGGGTTGGATTCAGAGTATTTTTGCACTGACAGCAGCATCCCAAATGAACATCTACTCAGAATGCTCTAGATGGCATAAAGGGAGAAGAAGTGATGTTTATTGATGTTCCCCTTTCTTTGAATTTACCAGTTCCACAGGCCTTCTGAGCAGATTTTGAGGTGGGGAAGCAAGAGATAGCTGAAAAGAGAGACACAGTGTCCCCGCCTCCCTCATTCAGACAGTGGGACTATTCTTCGATATCAGAAGACTTCTAGGAACTTCCAAAGATGTTCAATGGGAGACACTGAAAACATTGTAATAGCAAAAGATTTGAGGAAAGTGGTGAGAATAAAAGCACTAAAACCAACTTTCAAGTCTAAATCTTAGCTTACCTTTTAAATTTTACTTGTCCCTTTAGGTACTGAAACAATATTAAATACTGCAATAAAATGTGACGACGAAAGTTGCTGTCACTCAGTTGTAAATCCATTAACTGTAAAAAAAGAAACAAGGAACATATATATGGCCTTTTACCATATTAATGCTTTTGTAACATGGAAGAGCCAAGTAACAAAGGAACAAAGCGAATAAAGACAGTAACTGAGGAAGAAACTAGACATGAGAGCCTGGAAAGCAATGTTGCCAGTTTATCTAAATTCTCTGTTTTTCATATAAGTCAGCGGGGAAAAAGCTGTCTTAGAGTGTAATACTCTGAATTGCTGCAGTCTTGACCTTGATCACCACCACCACCAACAACAACAAAATTCCTCTGAAGCTATTAGCATTGAGAGAAAGTTTCCCCTTAGCCATAATGAGAAATAGCAACTTAAAAACAACAACAAAAAAGGATTTTGGGCAATATTACAGTAAAAGAAAAATATTTTAAGTCTCCCTCCCCACTAGCTAAAGTCCCAGTTGCTATCTGCATTTTTGTTAACACGCACACACTATTGCATCATGCTTGGGTCCCACTTCCAATGCCTTGATTCAAAATATTAAAACATAAGCCAAATTTGATCTATTGATTTCTATGAGGCTAAGGTAAATGAGATAACAAGTACTTTAACAACACCAGTCAGGGTATAATCAATTGTTTGTTTCAACCTAATTAGAAGTCAAGTATGGCTTATTTTGCCATGAAGCCTAATTTGGTATATTAGGACAAACACGCATCATACCTTCTCACTTGTGAGGAATTTAGCAAAGTAAACATGTTCTCCTCCAGTTTTCAACTCCTCTAATTTCTTTCTTGAAGCCTGGGTGTCATCCAACTTGTAGCTCTTAAAGACTGCCAATACTTCTTCAGAATACTTTAAAAATTGATAAAATGAAGTATTTGAAGACAACCATAGTCACAAAGCCAAGCTGAAATTTTATAAAATGAGACAGATGCTGGAATATACTGTTAGTCTCTTCTGATCATGCATTTTTACTAATGGCTCTGAGGAGATTACATATACTGTACAATTCATAACTAAATTGTTGCAAGTAACTGACCAGTTGCACAGAGTAATTAAATTTGTTCTATAATTTTTGGGAGACACACTTATTTATCATTGCTATCCTGTTTTCCTGAAAATAAGACCTAACCTGAAAATAAGCCCTAGTATGATTTTTCAGGATGCTCGTAATATAAGCCCCACCTCCCAAATAAGCCCCAGTTAAGTGAAATCCCGCCCTCCACCACTGTGCAGCAACTAGAAGATGGCATGACTGTATCTGAAAAAAAATGTAGATTACATCCCCTAACGTGCCATCTCCTCCAATACTGCCATTCACAGAGGCCAGATGTAGCAAAAGGAATGCATATCAGACACAAAAAATGAGAATGTATGTCTCTGAAAATGTTTTCAGACCTTAAGATTGCTATACAATCGCCTCTCCACCTCAAAGATTTTCAGTGGTTCTGTACACAAAATTATTGATTTCAATGTGACATTTACAATGGCTGCTGATATTCATGTTTTGATATTTAGATTATAGACAGATATTTTACACACACTGGTCTTCACATCAACTCTTCATATTTATTTTTATGTACATTCAATTCCCAATAATCACCACTAAAGTTTACATTTTTAGTTCCCTTTAAGCATCTGCTTGGAATGTTCCTGAAATGGTACAACACATTGATCTCTTGAAAGATGGGGGTAAAAATCCACACAAGAACCATTACCTTAAGGAAAGTCTTCCATGAGACCTTTTCATAACACTGTACAGGATTTCTAAAGTAGTCTTGAAGTGACCAGAACTTTCTGTATAAATTATAATCTATTGGAATGGAACTGACAAAATAATAATATTTAACAGACATATAAACACAAATATGCCAATTTTTTATTAAAACATTATCATTGTTCATATACATTTGTATCCTGCCTTTCTGCTCTAGACATGCAGTCTAGTTGAATACATGACCATAGATCAAGTTCTCACCTACGACTGCCGGGCATCCTAGAAAACAATACACTTCGGTTCAAGATCACAGCGGTGATTTGAAAGAAGCTAAAACTGCACTAATTTAATAGTAAGCATCCCTCTGTCACATATGCCTTTTGAAGAAACTGATGGAGATAGTTAAAAGAATTCAGGCAGATTATTGTATTTTTCCATGTATCCCCCCCATGTATAAGACAGACACACCCCAGTTTTCTAACCCCAAATTAAGAAATTTTAACTTAACTTTGAGTATTCAGCCTCTGGGCTCAGAACGCTAGGACATTACGAGTCCCTGTTGAATCTGAGCACTGCCTACAGGCTCCACCTCCAAGTAGATATATTCCAATCACTTTGATCCCTGCTTTCTCTCTTCTTGCTAAGGCCCATGGGGCTTAGCAAATAGAGGGGGAAAGGGATCAAAGCAATCCCACAGCTGCAAAATGCCTTTTCCTCTCCATTTGCTAAGCCCCGTGGGACGTGGAAAGGGATCAAAGTGCTGCAGGATCGCTTTGATCCCTGCCTTCCCCCCCTTTGTGTTCCACGAGGCTTAGCAAAAGGAGGGGAAAAGGGATCATGCCTTAAGGATCCTGACTGTAGGAAGCTAAACCTCATGATTGAAGACAGCCTGTTTGCAGAGGCAAGGTATGGGCCATTTTGTTCTCCCCTCAGCTTACGTCCGTGTATAAGACCCTCCATTTTTAGTCTACAGTTTTTAGACCAAAGTGTCGTCTTTTACACGGAAAAATACGGTAACTTCATTGAAAGAGGTACAATATAAATAACAGTATTAAGTAATTACTGTTTCAGAAGTTCTTGCACATTGTGAAAAAAAGTATTATTTGTATTTTCTAACCAAACTACTAAAACATTTTAGTCGTGCTATAACTGATTTAACTGAGTTGTAGTTATCAATATATCTCATTTGGCTACAAATGGCAGCAAAACCTTGACAATTCCACTATTCTCCAAAGATCACAAAAAGGATGCAGTATTGTAAGTTACAAGAAAGTTAGACAAAAGGTAATTAATAAATTCCTATCTAATCAAATAACTGCATCAAGCACATCACAGCTATATAAAATAAATTTTCATGCAATTTAAGAGTTAACCACTTTAAAGCAAATTGAAACTTAAGTTTTTGTCCATGCTTACCAACTAGTAGGAGCTTCATCATCACCCATTTCACCTTCCTCGACTTCCATACCTTCTTCTCTCTCCTCTACATGCTGAAGGAAAAGAGGGCATTTAGAGTTCATTCCCACCAGTTTTTCAAGTCAAATTGCTACCCAATTGGTTTCATTTCTTTCCCTAGAACTTATCACAATACTGAAAAAGAGGTTACATCTAAAGATGGTGCATTGTTGTTGTGCCTGCACAGGTGTTGCACAGGTATAATGCACATCTCCCTTGCACACTTGCCCTTTACTCAGGCAACGCACACTTCCTTCCTCACCTCCCCAGTACGTCTGGCCACTCATCTTTTGCAGCCTTCTCCTCCAACTTCCGATTTCTCCCTTAGCCGACCACTCAGATGAGGAGGTGAGTCAGGGAGGGAAGTGCGCATTCCCCAAGGAATGGGTAAGCGTGAAGGGGAGGTGGGAACCATATGGGGACAGCTTAATTTATGCTGATCTTTAGCTGCATTGTTTTAAAGTCAGGATTGGGACAGTTATTATCAATACTGTCACTACTGGAATTCTACTGAACCAGTGAAAAAATGCTCAGATCAAAGCCTGCCAATTTCCTCTTATGTCTACTTTCCTTTTAAGAGTCTAAATTAGAAAAACATCAATATATGAAATAATTTGTTTAAATTATTCTTACAAACAAGAAAGAACAGTTTTATTTTTCATTTGAAGGGGGCAGGGAGCTCCACGGGTTGAGTATCAGCCACATCGACAACAGGCAGAGGAGAGGTAGGGCGCAGATTTTGCTTCACCTCATCCCAATGTGATATATGGGTGAGAATTAACTACACCAGACCCACTTGCTTCTGTGAGCATGACAGGGGAACAAAAACACTTGGGACTTAGTTGACCCAACCACAAACACATGATATGTCCTCTCCTTCCAATGGTGGAACATTGCAAGAATATCTGTGACTGTAGAATTTCAATGGCGGAAGGATCACCTCCACTGACAGAGTAGTATTTTCACTAATGCTCTCCTGTCAGCTTCTAGCAGAGGCTAGGACTACTCCCTTAGTGTAGAGTTCAAAGGGGATTTTTCAAAATTACTTTCCCTTTGGGAAGAGTCACAGCCACACAGCTTTCCCAAAGTGCAATGTTATGTCTTAATTTCTTTAAGCTGCTCAGATAATGTTTACGTATAGAACATAATAAAAAGATAACCTTTTGTCCGAGTGTGCTCTCTTGCTCACTGGTATTAAAAACAGTGATATTTTCCAAATTAAATTGACTTTGCAAGTTCAGTCCTGTAAGAAAAAAAAGTATTTTATAAACCGAGGACTCAGAAAGTTCTAACTTGAAAATACACTACCAACCAGCATATGTCAATAGTTATGTGAATCAGCATTTTCCAACATTTTTTACATAATCACACTACTTTTAATTATAAGAAACCTAGAAAAGATATGATGTCTAAAATAATCAAGTGCCAGGAAAACCTGGATACCGCACAATTCATCTAAAATCTTTTCCACTACTAAATCAAGCTAGAATTTTCCTAACTACTGAGAGACTAGAATTGAAATGGATTTCATGTATATGTGACATACTGGTTATGCTATTAAACAGATCAAATCTCACCTGATTTTTCTGAAAGTGGAAATAATCTAGCCAGAAATAGCTGAATTCTTCCACAGAATACAGTATTTTGTGATTTAGATAATCTTCTTAAAAGATCTAAAAAGATACAAAAAGTGAACAGGCTGATTAAATTAAGTTTCCAGTATTGTTAAAATTTCATATACACTGTGGTACTGAGCATGTCAACTTTGGAGGGACTTTTTTCAAAGGATTTTTAAGCATAGAATATCTTCTCTCTCTCTCTCTCTCTCTCCTCTCTCTCTCTCTCACACACACACACACACACACACACACACACACACACACACACACACAAATTCACACATTTACAAGTACCATAGTATCCATTTAAAACTAAACAAAATATAAAATTCTTGAGGAGGCAAAAAGTTACTTACCATTGCACATTCTCAACAAGTAATTCTTCCCTGCTGAGTAAAATGTGTTCTATAAAGAGAAGATGTTCACCATTTAAAGGTCAGAAAGTTATCATAAAGCTGATACAAGGACTACATGCAGCATTTGTGACTATATTCTAAAATAATAACAGGAACTTTATATCACACATAGGTGAAGACAGACGCAAATAGTTATATCTCTACAGTAGGAAAACACAGTATTTTTCTGTATATAAGACACTTTTGCCTAAAACTGTTACACTAAAAATTGAGGGACATCTTATGCATGGAAGTAAGCTGAGGACAGAACAAAACTGCCTGTACCCTGCCTCTGTAAACAGGCTTCCTCTAATAACAAGGCTTAGCTTCCTCCAATCACAAGCCTTGTGGAACTGACGTCAGTTGATACTGAACAAACCAACTGGAACACAACTCGTTGGAGATGAAGCCTGTAGGCTTAGATACAATAGGGACTTGTAATGTCCGAGCATTCTGAGCCCAGAGGCTGAATACTCAAAGGTAAGTTAAGTTTTCTTAATTTGGGGATAGAAAAGTGGGAGGGTGGCGTCTTATACATGGGGGCATCTTATACACAGAAAAATACGGTATTATCTTCAGGAACCAATGAAGAAGCTTTTTTGGGTAACATTACTACTTTCATATTAAACATTCATTTCATGAATAAGACCCAGACAATTTTAAAAGTTCTCAAATCTTATGCTGACACATTCCACACCATCTATGGAAAGGGGAGGCCAGAATGCAAAACATCACATGAGAGCAAATACACACTATACCCACTATTGTTCACAAGCACTGAAACATCCTTATATTTATGGAAAAGCAAAGAGGGAAAGATAACACATTTTGCCTCAACTTCTGTCATTTTAATTATTGTGGAATAGCAAATAAAAATCATGTTTGTAACATTCATTCTTGTCCTCTGAGCAACAAGCTGTCCACAGGACAGCCTCAGAACTAGATACATGAAACAATAATACTTACTGACTTCCATGTAGTTACATTTTTTTCCACAAATGTGAAAATTTTGTCACACTGATCCAAAGGAAGGCAATCCAAAACATCTCCAAGGAGCACAAAAGGAGTTGATGCAGTACAGATACCTTCATGGGACAGAATATGCTTATATATTGGTTGCAAAAATCACACAATTCCTCAACAAACATTGGGTTAATATTTCTGGTTTTTTTGCTATGATTTTTCTTCTTCTTCTCTTTTTAATATTTATCCTATGAATTTAGCAGAGTCTTCATAGTTTCTACACTTGTCTTATGGAGGGTAAACCAAAAGTGATAGCTAAAGCCAGTGAACCTCAGTCAGTATAAAAGGACAGCAAATCACTCAGTGAAAAGAAAAGCATCTCCAAACAACATAAAAAGAGTGAGCAAGTCCAAAGATGTTGAAAATACATTAATAAACCCTACATGTTGCACACAAATCTTCTTCTGGAACTCTTAAAACATGAAAAAAAGTCAAGTAACAAGAAATGCAAACTCTTATTTTTAGAAGGATTTAAACTATCCCAGACTCACCTTCTGTAACGGCATTAATAACAAGAGAGATGATAGCTAGGACATTTTCACAGGAAGCTTTATTTATCTGAACGAAAGAAATACAAGGTATATTGTTCACTGTGCATGACTGAAACATTACTTTGATTAATATAAAAACACTGAAATATGAATTACATTCATAGAAAAGTTAAAGAAACATTTAAGACACAGTTATTTTCAATTAAACACATATATCCATCGCATTAACTACTTGGTGAATTCAGTGTCTGGCTGTTGTGCTAGAAGCTGGGGGTTTGGTTCCCCACTGTGCCTCCTGGGAGAAATTATCCCATACGGCCTTGGACAAGCTTCACAGTTCCAGTAAGCCCCAAGAAGAAAGGGGCTTCTTTCTTCTGAGTACCGTATTTTTCCATGTATAAGATGCCTCCACTTTTCTAACCCAAAATTAAGAAAACTAAGTGGGGCTTAGCAAATGTAGGGTAAAAAGAATCAAAGTGCTGCAGGATGGCTTTGATCGCTGCTTTCTCCCTTTGAGCTAAGCTCCGCGTGACTTAGCAAAAGGAGGGGGAAAGGGATCAAAGCAATTTCATGACTGCACAATCATTTTGATCCCTTTCCCCCTTATACATCCATGGGATTGCTTTGAGCCTTCTCCCTTCCTTTGCTAAGCCCCATGGGACTTAGCAGAGGGGAAAGCAGGGATCAAAATGATCATGCAGCACTTTGATCCCTGCTTTCCTTTTGCTAAAGCTTAGCAAGTGGAGGGGAAAGCAGGGGTCAAAGCCCTGCAGGATCACATTGATCCCTGCTTTCCCCTCCACTCAGTTTTTTTCCTCCTCAGCTTACTTCCGTGTATAAGATGACCCTCAATTTTTAGTCTAAAGATTTTAGACAAAAGTATATTCTTATACTCTCATGAGAAGAGAAGACTTCTTGGAAAAGACCTTGATGTTAGGAAAGTGTGACAGCAAGAGGAGAAGGGGACGACACAGAATGAGATGGCTGGACAGTGTCTGCGAAGCAGCCAACATGAAATTGACACAACTATGGGAGGCAGTGGAAGATAGGAGGGCCTGGCGTGCTCTGGTCCATGGGGTCACAAAGAGTCGGACACGACTAAACGACGACGACAATAGTCTTATACATGGAAAAATATGGTACTCTCTATATTTTGTTGTTATTGCTGTTTAATCATTAAGTCGTGTCCGACTCTTCATGACCCCATGGACCAGAGCATGGCAGGCCCTCCTGTCTTCCACTGCCTCCTGGAGTTTTGTTAAATTCATGTTGGTAGCTTCGATGACACTGTCCAACCATTTCTCTATATAGGAAACCCTAGGAGAACTCATTGTAAGGCAGAATTAACTTGACTGCACATTGTTTTTGTTATTATCATCATTATTATCAACTGCATTATTAAAGAAACAGGTCATGGGACCTTTAGTATTCTATGGCCAAAATTATCTTGCATAACTATGAAAATGGCATGCCTCCGGAGAAAAATTGTCCCAAATTAAGAAATCACAGTAGACATTATTAGTTGCACACTGTCTCACAAAACTCAGTATGCAGCAAGTAACATTTATGGTGATTTCTTAACTTGTACTAATTCGTCTCCAAAAGTTGTGTTATTTGTGTTACAGTGGTGTAATCAGGCAAGAGGATTTGGGCTCATCTTTAGAATATTTTGTAGGGACATGGTGGCACTGCGGGTTAAACCGCAGAAGCCTCTGTGCTACAAGGTCGGAAGACCAGCAGTCATAAGATGAAATCCACCCGACGGAGTGAGCTCCCGTTGCTTGTCCCAGCTCCTGCAACCTAGCAGTTCAAAAGCATGTACAAATGGATAGATATAAACACATATCATTACAACAAGAAATACTCACAATTTCTTCTTCTAGGGCAACTCTGAAAGCTTGGTCCAAGGTAAGCTTCTTTTCATTTTCACTACAAATGAACAACACTGTTAATCTGTTTTCCAAAGCCCTAACTAATGTTAAATATGTGTTACACAAAAAATATGAAATGAAATATGTTACCTTCCAGGTATCTGGCTGAATGCAATCAGTAATGGTTTAATGCTTTTGTTCTTGAGTGCCTCTCGAGTAGAGTTCTGAAAAGATAAGAGAGAGAAAACATAACTTCTTGCACAATTCATGATGGAATGGCCAGTCGCCACAGTGATTGACACTGACTTATGCTGGTGGGTAATGCAAATATGGTGCAGTTTCAAAACAAAACAGAAGAAACTGGTACATTCAAGGAAGTCCAGATTATAAATGAGATGAAGTCTCAGGATGTAGAAAATAGAATCAAGCTCTTTATTCTGTATTTCTTTAAATGAGTTGTTAAAAAACTCTGGCTCAATGCATTTCGGCAAAGTCTTCTTCAGGAGCTAAGCATAACACAAAACCACACATTAGATATTGAATCATTCACATTTTCTTTTGAATATATGTGCGCGCGCGCACACACACACACACCCCTACCTGGGCTTGGGACTCTCAACTTTATATAAATACATGTGTTTATACTGAGCACATGAGGCATTATAAAATATATTAGACAGAATATCAAACACATACCGAGCTTCTTTATACTCTCTGCACCTTTCTTTGGTCTATCTATCTATCTATCTATCTATCTATCTATCTATCTATCTATCTATCTATCTATCTATCTATCTATCTATCTATCTATCTATCTATCTATTCTAATCTAATCTAATCTATCTATCTAACTTATGTGCCGCCCACACTATCCAAAGGTCTCTGGCCACAGAGGGCTGCTCCCTCCAATGCCCTCTCCCCTTCCTGTTGCCTCAGATCCACTGTGGGTCTCTCTATAACCTGATGGCAATTAATAATAATAATAATAATAATAATAATAATAATAATAATAATAATAATAATAATAATAATAATAATAATAATAATAATAATAATAAT